CCGCTCTTTTCCCAGTTCTAAACACAGGTTCCCGTGCCAGCTCCTGCATTGCGACAGATCTTCGCTCCCAGCTGCCTTCAGTCCCATCCACTGCTGTTTTAGCCCTGTTCACTTGGCTATTTAATTTCTAAAATAAAGATTTCCCATTTGTAATTAAGAATCTTCATCACTGTTTCCTTTTCTGTGTCCATTTGAATTATGATGAAGTATCTTGTTTGATCCAATCAAGGTTGCTTTCCATGGCCAGGTCTTCTGTGACATCTCCACTAATTAGAGAGTAGGCTGATTGCTTGTTGGTTGAGCGAGTGCTTAATGAAGGCATTCATCACTTCACACATCCAGGGTGCCTGCAGGACAGCAAATGCTCCCACTGATAAGGCCCAGTCTCTTTCTAGGAAATTAAAGTCTCTGGTAAGGACGGCGTTGATAACCATCTCCAGGTCCTTAGGCCCCTGCCAAACCTCTAGAGAAACTTTGCCAGCTTCCTTTTCCTTCTCACATGATTAACTCAAAACAGTTTCTGTATCCTTTATTTCTTTTTGTTATTACAGTGTTTATGAAAAATACCTGTCACATTTTATTTCTTTCTTTCCTGGATAGCAGTGTATACTTCTGATCTGTTTCACTAGTGATTAATGTTCTGCCACATCCACTATGCCCATAATGTCATTTTTTTGCATAATGTATAAGCAACAATTTCACTACCAGAGCTCCTTGCAATAGTACACAGACATTTGTTCTTTCTTGCTGAAAATGTCAAGGGATGATTAAATACAGCACCTTGTGACTCTTGCTCACACCTTCAGCAGCACTCTCCCTTTTCTGTCTCTCTTCCTACTCACGAATATTACACCGTTATACTTGTTTACCTGATGCATTTCTTTTCTCTCGTTACACTGTCGTAGCTGTGAAGATGATCAGCTTTTTTTCCTCTCTGGTCTTTTATAGCAGGGTTTGAAGGAAGTTGTCCTTCATTAGTTTCTAGGTATGCTCACACCAAACCTCCTTTGAGCTCAGTTCCATTAAGATGCATTGATATCCACCTGGAGTTTAATCCGTAGATGAGTCACAAATCCCTCTCCTCCAGCAGGACCCTGTGTAGATGGAGTTACCCTTCACGGACCTGGGGAAGGGCAGTTTTGTAGCGTTAGCTTGACAAAACATTTAAATTGTATGAAAATTGCAGCATACAGTTCAGTAGCCCCTAGAATGGCCCAGTGTGGTTACAGCGGCTGCGAGCTCCTGATATTGACAAAATATGGCCTTTGCCCCATCATAGCACAACTGATCAAACCCTTCACAAGCCTGCTGCTGCTGGCATTGTTTGATGTCTCTTCTGGCACTAATTCCTGGAGAAAGATGGTTAAACTGGGGGCACTAATGGGAATTGGGAAAAACTCAGAGATGGCTGCAAACAGCAGCGGGGACTAAAGGGGGGCTTGCCTACAAGAGGATAGCTTGGGCTTCCACCCACAGCCCAAAAGAGGAGGGCAGCTGCAAAAACAGCGCTGAAAAACAATGCTACAGCAGCGTAAGACAGGTCCAGCTGAAGGAAATACTTGTGCTAGAAGATGGTTTTGTCTTTATCTTCTCATCAAAACTAAGTGGAATGAACTCATAAATAATGAGAAATAATTTGCCATCTTTTGAGGCAAGCTAGACAGAGTCATTATAGAAGGCATGCAGAGTTGTGCATCATTTACATACAAGTGCTAAATGGAGGACCCTACACAAAATGTGTCCCCTCTTCTCTAGAAATAAGAAAATACATACCAGTACGGTAACTTTGCCACCAGCAGCCTGAAAGAAGCTGAAACTACAGAAGGAGTGACAAAAATTTGAGACAATTTCTTGGCAATTTGTATTGGTACGTCTCAGAATACCTAGCTTTATTCTAGGCTCCCAGGAGGAAATACCTAATACACCGGAGAGATAGCTGCACCATATTTAGCAAGCTAAAGCTAGAGGGGCAGATGAGGTCCCAGTAGGAAAAACTTCACCTTGGGAATATGGAGCTCAAAGGAAAAGTTTATGCATTCATTCAGTGTGAAATGCTGTGGGTGATGCAGTCTGTTTCTCCTCCATCCCTAGAAGATAACCAAAGCAAAGCATGTTGCAGCCTCAGTCCTGTGATATCAGTCCTCATAGCGAGCTCTTCTGTGAGGTCCACATCCTCATTCTGTAGTGCCTTTGGGAAGCCATAGTCTTACCCATTCTTCAAGTCGTTTGTGGATTTTGTTGACTGATTTCCTGGGGGAGTCTGTATAGAGCAGTGGGACCTTTCAGCAAGTAATTTTCCTCTGTCAGAAGAACAGTAGAAATTTGCTCTTTTGCTCATTTTGATGTAGCAGGGCAGAGGCTGAGGTGCAACTCAAATTAGCCTTCTGTGGTTTGGCATCTTTTAAGAGTTACTAAAAGTAAAGTCTGCAAAAACAAACTTCCTGGCTTAGCAGGGAAAACAGCCTGTCCTGTGGAGGACAGCTCTGCCCTAGGGTCTGTCTTTGCTTTTCAAAATACTCCACAGCCTCTATCAGACAAATTGAATGTAGCTGGAAAAGTTGCCTACACTTGCCAGGAACTGGGTCGGGACCATTTCAGCTGCTTTCCTTACTATCCTTCTGAGCCTGTGGTCATTGCAAGCACAAAGCACGGCTTGAAATTTAAGTCGGCCTTCAAGAGATTTCTGCAAGGATGATAACCACTATCTTGATGGCCTGAAGCAATGACCTCCCTAGCCAGTTGTATGGGTTGAGGAGCTGTTTGTTACCCAGGAACTATCCCCTTACACGTCCCCTGAAGGGCAATTGCCAGGCAGAGAGTGGGTGAGGTGCTGATACACAAAAGATGGTTTCAGTGACTCATGCTGCAACTCTGCCTGAAACATTACTTTGCTTTTCCCCCAAAACTGTGATAAATCTTACTGTGTGAATCCTGTGCTGCTTTACCCCACCCCAGCAAGCGCAGAAGCAGGCCTACACCAGGGAGGTGTTCAGCAAAGCAAGAGGAGAGCCATGTCCTTGGGGGAGAGGGCATCCATCCAGCCATCTCCCTCTTGGCAGCTGTCAAAGGCACCTTCAGACTGAGCTATGGGAAAGAATAAAATGGCCTATGCTAGAGACACTAATGCATTGGCTCTTCAGAAGTTTTTTAGCTTCAGAAAGCCTTGGCATCCTTGTAGGCTTCCCTAGGCTCCAAGTAACCTGCAAGAGGACCCACCATTTGTGGGCAGGCAGGGTCATACCCAGATCAGAACCCTGTTGTACAACAGATGGAAGATGAGACTCTGTGTCCTCTCTAATCTTCCCCCTTACCCTCCTGATCTGTTTTGTCAATGGTAATGCATCAGCTATTCCAAATATTCTGTCTTTTCCCCAGTTTTCCCTGGGGTTAGGAAAAGCACCAAAGGAGAGTATGAGAAAGGCTTTTATACTCTGCTAGAGACCAACGTAAACAGATGAAGTTCTCATCTCTCTCTTCCTCATCCAGAGGAAGGTCTAGATTAGGTTAGGATTTACAGTTTTCCCTTCGCATAGCTCTGATTCCCCATAGAGCTGGGTGCTCTCACAGCCTTCTGGTTATTTGCCCCCTGTATAGGTGTAGATGTTCATTGCCTCCAAGTGCAACTCCTCAGGCATGCGGTTTCACCCTTGGTGCCAAGTCGTGGTAACACAAGAACACGCTCACATTTCCAGTTCAAGAAGTTCAAATCAGGGTCCCCACTTGCTTCAGATGCAGGTCTGCAAGGGGGCACGGAGATGCTGGCAGCCCCTGGCCCTGGTGAGATCTCTGATAAAAGGCACACAGAAAATAGATTTCAGTTACATCATGGTTGTTTCACAAATCGACCTTATTTACCAATTACCCTTTTTTTTTTTTTCCTTCCATTTTGTAGCTTGTGCCTGTGCCTTTGATCTCCTAGGAACAGCTTTAGATCTTACCATAAAATTCATTAAAATAGATTTCATGCTTAGAGTGCTCATCCTGTTGAACAAGAGACAAGGCTAAAGCATCTTTAACGTTCCTCTGGCAGAGCACCTACATAAAAAAAAGATAAGGAAGTAGTCTGGGCTATATTTGCAGCCAACAGCATTTTCTTTCCCACAAATAAAGGCATTTCCATGTGTTTAGACCCTGTTCTCCCATTGGGGAGGATGCTTTGAGGTGGATCTATGAGTCCAAGGTCATTTATGTACCTATGAAAAACAAGGCTCCTGAAAATGGGCATAAAAGGTTTGGATATCTGTTCAGCTGCTTGCTACATCCGGAAGCTTTCCGCTGTTTATATTAGCTCTGTAATTTAGCATTTTGAGGCATTCACTTTCTACTGAAGCTGTTGTTTGAAAAGAGCAGATTTCATGTAGCTCATAAAGAATTTAGTACAGTTGTATCCCATGCTGAGCAGACACTTAATCACCTATAGACTTCCTGTGCGAGAGCAGTCCTGCGGAGGCTGGGGGAGCTATTCGCACAAGTGAAGTTAATTGCCCGTTTGTTCTAGCATTTGCCAAACCACGGCTTTGATTCTCAAGTGTTTCACTTGTGTTTTCCTGCATCAGTGATAGCCCTGTAAAATTCATATGTGACAGCTTGCTAGCGGGGAAGCAGCTCACCCTTATAGTTCATTTCATTTGAGCTATCAAGTAATGGTTACAATAGCATGTTTTTTGGAATCCATTTTACAGGTCTTAAAGTTGGTTTAGATCAAGTTTGGGGTTTTGCTTAAGTGATTTATCTCTCTCTGTCGTACTCCCATTGAGGCAGACCTGCAGGGTAGTGGCTGGCAAAGAGAACGTGAGCCCTCTGATGTCCCTGAGTCTGTCCCTGTGCCACCTTCCCGTCAATATTGCTTCCGCCTCATAAAATAGCCCAGCTTCTGCCCTCGTACCTGCTCCAAAAGCCACTGCTTTTACTCTGTGCAAGTATAGCAGCTCCCAGGGCCAGGCAGGGGTATACAGCTGAGCTTGGCAGCATCCCCAGCCCACGAGGGAACAAGCCATGACCATAAGCCAGGGCACCTGCAAATCCCCACCACCCTTACAGCCAAATGTAGAGGACCTGTTAGAAAAGTGGTAGGAGGAGACCCAGGACTCAGCCGGGTTGGAGGGCGGGACTTTGCAAACGATTTCATGTCCCTCAGGTGGGAAATCAGGGCAGGTCAGCCCTGTCCCAGCAGGGGCCAGCTGGAAGCAGCAGTCATTTGCACCCAGCTCTGCCAGGGATGGGAGCGGGTTTTGGGGTGTTTTGTGATTAGCTGGCCAGGCAGGGGCTAGGATCAGCTTACTCAGTGTGGGCCAGGAGCGACCACGTGAATTGCAATGATTTTCCATCACTGGGTACCTGCTCCATCTCTAATGTGGTATTAATCTGGAAACCTAAACCTAGGGGTTTATAGTTTGGCTGTAAGTGTTTATTTTCTGTGAAAATAAAGAACTCTTGAGCACTCTTAACAGCCCTCCTGGCTCTGCCCCTAGTGCAGTGAAACCGTGGGTCTCCTTCCAGAATAGCAGTGCTGGGTTATTTCTAAATAATCTCATTTGCTGCTACATGAACATGTAGCTGGAATCACATTTTTCTGAAGCTGCTCTAGAGTAAATTACAGTGTTGATCTAAGTGTTTGGCCAAAAAAAGAATTGCCTCCATTACTCTCTGACTGCCTTTAAGTAGCACCTAAGCTTTTTGTAAGGGCTCAGTGGTTTTGGGTTGCATGTAAATGTCATTAACAACAAGCTTTTGGCCAAAAGAAATAACTTTTTCCCTCTCCTCACTCACCCAAGGACTTGTAAGAGACCAGATGGCCCCAATGTTTGGGAGTGGAGTTTGGCAAAGGAGACATTTTCAAAAGCTGGACTTTGCTAAGATGAAACGTAGCTGTTGCTGCTGTCTTATGGCCAATTCTGCTGCTTTTTTCTTTTTAAGTCTGAAGCCGTGTTGCTTTATTACCCACTGAACAGACAAGATGTACAAATCCATGTACAAAAAGGAGTGAAATAGGCTGGTCCAAAGAACATGTTGAATTTTCAATGCCCCAAGGCTATTGATTTGGGTTTTTAAAGTGTACCTCAGTGCTACTTGATGCAATGTTATGTTCTTGTTTCTAATTCTGTAGGCGTGGGAGGCAGCGAGCTGCTCTCTGAAATCTTGCAATAAAAGCTTGGTATGAGGAGGAGGGGATTTATACTGTGGAAAATGCCCAAGCTTTTCTGTGAGAAATGTGTAGTGCTGATCTTCAGCTGAGAAGTGTCGTTTGCTTGTCTTAAATCCAGGGCAGGGTTATTTGAAGGTTTCATGGTCCCCAGTAAGATGTGTTTGGTGGGACTGCTGGGCTGCCCTGGATGTGCTCGTCCCGTCACCTCCATGGGGATGAGCCAGAAGGCACCAGTGGGTGAGGAGGGAGCTGTGCAGCAGGGAGGAGCCCACCCCTACGGCGTCTTTATGCATAAGCACTGTTCGCACACCCTTGTCCAGAGCAGCAGGCGAGTTTGTTAGAGAGTCTTTATGGGAGAAGCAGATGCAGAGGCATAGCAGAAGGGACCTGCTGCCCTTTTGGGTGACCATTGCTGTTCAAGGACCTCAGCTCTGGGCCCGTGGGGAAAATAAGGTGTTTGCAGGTTTCTAGAGGTCCCTGCAGTGCCCATGGTACAGTTGGGTTTGTGCAGGCATTGCAAGAGGAGACCCCAGGCACGCAGAGCAAAGAGAGAGAGGGAAAGTTGTTGGCTGTGGGGCCGATGAAGGACATTTTTAACATTTTATGGAAAACTAGAGGTTCAGAACCTGTGTGCGCTGCTGAGTAGTGTGGGAGCCACAGGGGCAGTAAGACCAGTGCTGTTTGTTGGCAGGTCCAAGAATACATTGGAGCTAGAAACCCAGAAGTTGTTTGTGGCTTGGAAGTCAGGTTCTGGTCAAGCTGCTGAGCAGGAGCATAAACCAGAGCAGACAATGAAGGAAGGGAGAAGTTGAAGAAGTCAAAACAGCTTACAGAGAGCAGGATGTGCGAAAACAAATAGCGATGTTTCAAGTATGCCAAAAGCAAGAAGCCTGAGAATGTGTCAGCAGAGCTGCCAGCTCACTGGGGCAAGTGAGAAAGCTGAAACTCCTTCCAGGCAGAAGTCACCATCAGTGCAGCTGAAGGTCCCGGTCCCAGTCTGCTTAAGGTAACAGAGAGGAGGTGCTGTCAGGGGCAGGGTTTGGAGAAGACATTCAGGTGCAAGCTGATGGCTTGAAAAGTGTTCAGCCTCTGTGTCCAGATGGTTCACCCAAGAGTTCTGCAGGAGCTGGGCTGAAAGCTGCAAACATACACATTTCTGCATTAAAACCAGCTGCTGCTCCGAGGAGCTGGAGGCTTTGCCCGTATTTTGAGAAAAGCTTTAGAATCAGCCCAGACAGTGATGGATAGAAAGATGTGCGGGAGCTGTGCCTGGCAATTTGATAGGAAAGATAATTAACAACAGAATGGGAAAACAGCAGGAGGATGAGGGAAACCAGTAGAGCCCAAGGACACACTCACATTTATGTGTTGGAGGACTCTGTCTCATTACTCTGTTAGAGTTATCTTGTGCCAATGAAGCCGAGGGTAAGTAAGAAGCACCTGATGTAATGTACACTTCATTCCTGCACAGGAGGCTGTCAAAGAGCTAAACAGAGTGACTTGCAGCAGATTTCCTAGGTAAAGAAAGCAAGTGGCACCAAAAAAAGAGCCAGACAGAGTCCTGTGACACCTAGAAATAAGCCTGGGGAGCAGCAGCCCTGTTAGGCTGGGCTGTGTGTTCAGCCCTTCTCCTTGGGTTAGCATGGTTGGGGTGCATTTGGATGACAGTGGCTGTTTGTGAGATTTGGCTGTGATCCATGCCTCCCACCGAGCCCTGTCCACCTGCCAGCCTGCTGTGCTGGGGACCCCTCTCACCAGGAGTGGGAGTCTCACGGCTGCTCTGCTCTCCCCCGCAGGAAAGTCCCACCTGGCCATCGTGCAGCGAGTGAACAACGAAGGGGAAGGAGACCCGTTCTACGAGGTGATGGGCATTGTCACCCTGGAGGATGTCATTGAGGAGATCATCAAGTCCGAGATCCTGGATGAGACAGACCTGTACAGTTAGTGTCCCAGAGCAGCTGCTGTGGTTGCAGGAGCCAGGGTGGGACCCCGCACAGACAGACAGACATGTGGGTAGGAAACAGGCCAGAAAAAAACATGATCCTTCCCCAGAGCAATTCACAGTCATGGTGGGAAAGACAAGAATGATGGAGATGCTGGTCAGGTGTCAGGGAGTCTTGAATGCTTCAGATAGAAAAGCACCAGCATCAGCAGCCAATGGCTGAGCAGGGCCTGACCCAGGGACCAGTGTGTTGTGCGTGAAGTGCCCATGGGTGGTTCCCAAGCTCCTTTCCAGCTCTGGGTGATGCATCCAGCCAGGACAACCCAGGAGTTGTTCTGAGAAAGAAGCATGTTTCACCACCCTGCTCCCTCCCTAGGGAGCTGCTCCCAGGGCTGTGATGCATGGCACATTTTGTGCACCTCGCTGTTCCAGCTGCTGCTCC